CAAGAAGGAAAACCTCTTGGGACCACTGTGAAAGTTGCATGAATATGGTGTCACTGAAATCAATTTATGTTGTTCATAAATGCTAACGTTACAGACAATTGAAATGGTGAAAAAATATTTCATATATTACGAACTTCAAATACAAAACTTGAAACAATTCCAGAATATATATACTTTGTAGGATCTATCTTGAGTATTTCGAGGAGTTACAAACGGAATGACATAGAATGGTAGAGGGTATAACAAGAAAAATCTAATAAATAGCGCGAAATATTTTGTGAAAATAACAAGTAAAAAAACATTAAGTTCGGCCGGGTCGAACCTTTAATATCCTCCATCTTGAGGTAATGGAAACATTAGAACCAATTATGACCCACTAATACCAAAAATCATCAAAATACCGAATATCGGTATGTACCGCTATATAGAGCTATACAAAAACGAAGACCAGGTACCGTTATATGGGAGCTATACCAAAGCGCGGACCCATACATACATTCTGAACTACAAATACCAATTTTCAAACAAATCCGTGAAAAAATGTGGCAAAAATTATCAAAATACCGAATACCGTTTTATGGGGATTATAACAAAGCGTGGACCGATATATATCATTTTCAATACCAACCATCCTAGACACAATACAAATTATTCTGGTAAATTTTGACGCTCTACATCAAACAGGTTGAGTTTTCACAATTGACTTCTTCTGTTGAATGTAAATTTCAGAGCGCTCGCGTGGCGTGTATTGGTTCATGGTAAAAATCTTCTTGGACTGACGCTTCAAACGCAGTATGTCATTAAGCGATGAGACATCTCTGTCAAAAGTTATGGCGTTGCCAGATGGGTCCGTCGAATATATACATTATGGGGTCTTTTCCAAGGTGGAGGGTATACAAAATGGAGAAATTTGATATTATTAAGCATGTATTTTTATACTCTCTAAAATTTGTAACAATTGTTGCACATTTTACTAGTCGTCTGTTAACACAAAAGATCTTCAAAAGAGAGCGATTTGAGAGAACAATTTTGACAGTTCATTTACGGAGAGTTTGCAAATTCTTGCAGGACAAATTTCTTCTTGCAATCACTTGCAACTCTTCTTCTTCTCCTTCCGGTGACTTATATTTGGACAAGCAATTTAAAAACACCTTTATTTTGGATATCTTGGAAATCTTTGTCTATGACGCACAAATTATCTTGTTTTGACAAGTTTTTGAAGAGATTCCGTCTGTTTACTTTTCACAGTTTTCACAGAGTAAAAATAGGTGTGTCTGGTTACTTTTCCTGTAGCAATTGTCCAGTAACTTCTTTCTGAGAGAGTAAGGTAGTTTTATTCTCTTTTGCAAGGAAAATGCGAAAAGAAAACAGACGGTATTCCTGCAGAAGCTTGCAACTAATCAGCTGATCAAATCAAAACAAACCAATTTGTCCCCCATAAGGAGAATTAAAACAAAGGAAGCAATACTAATTTTACAAGTTTTTTTAAATAAAAATGTTGGAAATAGTCTTTTATTTTCTTATTACATATTAACATTTACGTTTTTCACATTTTGTAAAGTTTTTCTCCAAAAACTATTAGTCTTGCTAATTCCAAAAAAAATATTTTCAAATTGAAAGCGAAAAAATAAATAAACAAACAATAGAAAACATCTGATTGAATGTCGATAAATGAGAAGAAGAAGAGTTGCAAGTGATTGCAAGAAGAAATTTTTCCAGCAAGAATTTGCAAACTCTCACTGAAAGAACTGTCAAAATTTCTCTCTCCAACCGCTCTCTTTTGCAGAACTTTTGGGTTAACAGACGACTTCCAGTAACAATTTGTAACAATTGTTACAAATTTTAGGGTAACCAGACACACCTAATACCTTACCCTCTCAGATAGAAGTTGCTGGACTATTCCTGCAGGAAAAGTAATCAAACACACCTAGAGTTGTAAGGGTATTATGTCTTTGTGCATTTGTTTGTAATGCTAGGAACACAATTGGAGCGAACGACGAATTTTTTCGCGGCGTATGTTCGTCGTCAAAAATAAAACACATATGTGTATATGGAAGTGCACACTATCACGGCACCGGCGAAAATTTCGTCGGTCGCCGCGAACTCAATTAGCTTTATTTCTATTTCATACGCCGGCGACCGGCGAACAAAACAGTACAAGGTGGCCATACTTGTACGAATTTTATGTGTTTTAGTAAATAAAGTTACTTTTTACTTTAAAATTTGTTATGGTCACTCTACTATCTGTTATGCTAGGAACACAATTGGAGCGAACGACGAATTTCGCCCTACGCGGCGACAAAATGAGCCGCGAAAATTCGTCGTATGGAACACAATACCGACGAAATTATAAAACAGCTGATGAAGTTGTTTACTTTTTGCTCATTTGTTGACTACAATGAATTATACAAGAACACATAATTCTTTACGTTCTCTATTATAATTTCACTTATGTCCATCTTCTCTATTATAAATTCACTGATATCCATCTTCACTCAGGCGCAAGTACACAAATAAATAAACAAATTAATTATGTTTTTTTATACGAGTAACAGATAGTAGAGTGACCATAACAAATTTTAAAGTAAAAAGTAACTTTATTTACTAAAACACATAAAATTCGTAAAAGTATGGCCACCTTGTACTGTTTTGTTCGCCGGTCGCCGGCGTATGAAATAGAAATAAAGCTAATTGAGTTCGCGGCGACCGACGAAATTTTCGCCGGTGCCGTGATTGTGTGCACTTCCATATACACATATGTGTTTTATTTTTGACGACGAACATACGCCGCGAAAAAATTCGTCGTTCGCTCCAATTGTGTTCCTAGCATTACTCGTATAAAAAAAAACATAATTAATTTGTTTATTTATTTGTGTACTTGCGCCTGAGTGAAGATGGATATCAGTGAATTTATAATAGAGAAGATGGACATAAGTGAAATTATAATAGAGAACGTAAAGAATTATGTGTTCTTGTATAATTCATTGTAGTCAACAAATGAGCAAAAAGTAAACAACTTCATCAGCTGTTTTATAATTTCGTCGGTATTGTGTTCCATACGACGAATTTTCGCGGCTCATTTTGTCGCCGCGTAGGGCGAAATTCGTCGTTCGCTCCAATTGTGTTCCTAGCATAACATGGAGAAGGAAGCGAGATAGACGCATAATTACCTTTGGGTATCTTTATAGAATCACTTTCTGAGTCGATTTATGCATGTCTTCCGTCCGTCCGTCTGTTCATTTATTTTTGTGAAGAAAATGCAGGTCGAATTTATTATCTGATTGAGATGAAATTTTCCAAAAAATATTTGTTTGGAAATTGGTGATAAACGGTTCAAATTAATTGTACACCAAATGGATAATATTAGCCCGAATGAACTGAATCTTGGCAATTTCGACTGAATTCATCCTAGAAACCAGTACTTGGTGCAAATTAGTTCAGATATAGCTATGGCTCTCATATACAGGGTGAGATAAAAAAACTTGCAAAAAAGACAAACGCCATAATTTTTTAATAATTTAATTTTATTGAATGAAAGTGAAAAATGTTGGAAATAGCATTAAATTTTAGAATTTGTTTAGATTTGTTCGAATTGGTCATCTTTGGCACGAATTATGGCCTTCATACGGCCAATGAACCCGTCACACGCTGCCCGAATGTTGCTCTGCGGTATTTTGGCCCATTGCCGAAGAAGCGCTTGCTTGATGTAATCGACACTTTGGTATTTTTTAGTGCCAACCTTGCTTTCCAAAATACTCCAGACACAACAGTCCAACGGATTGGTATCCGGAGATTTTAGTGGCCATTGTGCCCTGGAAATGAAGCGAGGAACCTCATTTTGTAACCAGTCTTGGATTGGGTGGCGATGGTGCTGAGTCCAGTTGGAATGTCCATGGTCGGCGACCTAAATGTTTGCGTGCCCAAGGGCTTAATACGCCCTCCAGAATATTTTCGCGATAATATTCGGCAGTTATTCTGATGCCACGGTCGATTAATACGAGCGGAGAGCGACCATCGGCTGTTATGGCGGCCCACACCATCACCATGGCCGGCGCTTAAGTTCTGGTGGCCAACCGAAGGTGCACATTTTCAGCTGACCTCTTTGGGAAATAAACACGATCATTTTGTTTGTTTACAAACTGCTGGACAACGAATGTTTTCTCATCGGAGAAAACCAAATTCGGCAGTTCACCACTTTCGGCCAAGCGAAGCAACTCTTTTGCTCTTTTGAGTCTATTTTCTTTCTGTTGCGGTGTAAGTTCTTGCACTTTTTGGTATTTAAATGGCTTTACCCCGAGCTCATATTTGGCTAATATTTGTGAATGGAATATTGCGATATGTTCAGCTCACGAGCCATTTTTCGGCCACTACGAGGGGGTTCGATCAAGTCGCTTCTTTACTTTTCGAACCATTTCTGCTTATGTTCCTGTTTTCTTCCGTCCACTTCCTTGATGTCGGGCTACGCTACCAGTATCAAGGTAACGAGCAATGGTACGAGACACAAAAGATTTATTTACATTTAAATGCTGGATTGCTCTAACGGCGGCCACTTGTGGTTTTCCAGCCAAATATAAAGAAATCACACTATCACGCTTGAATTCCATCACGAATAACTTTTTTTCTGGAAAATTTTCACCAATATGCTTTTGTACGCTTGTAAACAATATAATGAACTGTTTCCGGTATAATTTTAACATCTGTCGGACGAGTGGCTTAGGAATGACAGCAGTAAATTGGTTACAGTTTTTTCATCTCACCCTGTATATATGTTTCATCCGATTTGATGTTAAAGTCCCTCACATTCGTAATATGCACTCCACGACAATGATATTTGATATCCTTATCGAATTATCGAAAATGCAAAATTTTACATAGAATTAATCATTATGGATTATGTTAAATCGGCAACTCCCATGGCAGAAGAATTCTTCTGCCATGGGCTACTCCGAAGAATGTAATATAAACATAGCCCAAAAATAATAAAAAACACTGGTTCTCAGTTACGTTATCATTACGTAAAGTATACGAAACACATGCGCTGCAATGACTTTCAAACTATTGACAACAAATGTTAGCTGTCAGCTGGAACAATCATAACAACATAAACATTGGAAAAAAATGTCTCAACAAATTCGTCGTGAGGTAACCAAATTAAAATCGAAATTTCTACAAAATTCTTAATTAAAATCTTCACAAAAATTCAAGGTATTGAAAGCTTTTCGGAAACTCCATCGAACAAGACAATTGATATTTGCCGGCGATGACAATGCCTTGGCGTTGGGACGTAATGAAATCAATTCACATTTCAGGAAAAACATGCAGGAGACCAATGTGGAAGAAATCAAAAAGGTAAGGTTTGAATATTAGAATACCCCACGAATATCCCTAACAATTTCGTTAAAAATCTTTCCGTAGATGGTGAAACTTGCTTTGGATGTGGATAAAGAGTTACGCACAAATGTCATACAGGCTAAGAAGAAGGATGAGGGTGTTTATGGTAAATATTCTTTATTTGTGTTAAACTTTTCGTCTATTATTATTATTAATGTCTTCTTTCCCCATACAGAGTTACGTATTACACCAGAAACAACCCGCCTGGATAATATTGCCTTTAATCCAGATGCTGTGATAGAACCACCTCGTCGTCGTAAAGGTCAACCTGCAACCGGCTGCTGTGGCGGTGGTGGTGCAGCAAACCAAGCTGCAGAATCCTCAAATCAAAAGCAATAATAATATTTAAATTCTAGTTTAATTGTTTGTTGTCTTCTTTAATAAAGATTTATCATACTATATTTTACATTCACTTTTTATGTTTTTTCGATTTGCTTTTCTTTGATTTGGATTTTTTCTTTTTTGATTTTTTCGATTTCTTTTTCTTCCGACGCTCGTCTTCGGATGAGCTATCACTTTCGCTAGACGAAGAAGATGTGCTTTCACTGTCAGACGATTCACTTTCGGAAGACGATTCCTCACTGCTACTGGTATCTCTTTTAGATTTTTTTGACTTCTTTTTGCCATCATCCTTTTTACGTTTCCTGACATCTCTGCTTTCTTCGTACGAAGTTTCATCTCTTCGAGATTGTCTTCTTACTGGAGACTGGTCGTGTCGTTTCTTTTCCATAGATCGTCCATTTTGTATTCTCTCCTTATTTCTGTGTGGTGATTCTCGCCTGTCTCGGTTTCTACGATGTTCATCGTCATGCCTTCTGTCATTATACCGTTCATCGTTTCTTCTCTTGGGAGAGTATCGGTCGTCATATCTTCTTATGGGTGATCTCTCCCTATCACCTCGTCTATTGTCTCGGCGTGGTGGTGATCTATGCCTCGATCTCGATGTCGATCTTGATCTCCTTTGCTTATCCAGTTCTCTGTGACGTTCCTCTCTAGCTTTACGCCTTTCCGCTGAGGTCATTCTACCTCGTGACCGGGATCTCGAACGTGTTCGCCTGCGTTCACGTTGCCTATTGTTATCTCTTCTTGGCGAACGTTGTCTCTCATTTTGTTTGTTTGGTTTGCGATCGACATTTCCCTTGTCACGCAAATTATTAAAATCCAGACCTTTAGAATCACCTTCAACACCTCGTCCTTTACCACGCCACTTGATGCGAGAAACAGATTGTGAGAAATCCACATGAATTCGTCTATCATCTATGAGCACATTGTCCATTTTAAAATATGCAGCTTCGCAGGACTTCTGATCCTCAAATTCCACAAAGGCATACTGAAGAGAATCTCCAGTCTTACGGTCTCTTATTACTTCACAACTCTTAACTCGGCCAAATCGACTGAATATAATTTCCAAATCATCATCTGTCGTCACAGGATTCAACTTGCAAACGAATAGAACATTTTCAGGTGGTGCCATATCTGCATCTGGCAAATCGCCCACAATCTCCAATATTGTTGCTCTGGCCTTAGCTTCGCGTTCAGCCAGCATCTCCTGTATTTCCTCCATTGTTTTGCCGTCGGTGTCGTCTATGTCTTCATCTGCAGCTATGCGACCATTTTGCATTCTCTCCGCCGATGGTGAGGGTGATCTACTTGGCTGCCTAAATCCTCTGGGGTCAGGAAATGGATCATCTAATATTACCGTATGTGTAATGCGAATATCTTGATATGGCCTAAAGTTTTCATCTACAATGGCTTCATTTAACTTTCTCAACGTCTCATGACCCTCTACCACCTCCCCAATGACACAATGCTGCCCGTCCAAAGATGTCAGGTTGTCACCCAAAGTGAAAAAGAATTGACTGCCCAGCAGTTGTTTGCCGGCCCCGACCAACGAGAGAAGACCAGCACTGGAATGATGAATCTTTGGCAAAGTTTCACCCTCAAAGAACCGCTTGTGTTGTCCCTCAACAACACCCCATATAGAACTGCCGCCATCACCCGCTCCAGTTGGATCACCCGTCTGTGCTATGAAACCTTGCTCTATGGTATGGAAGAGGTTGTAATTGTAGTATTTGAGTTTGCACAGTTTCATGAAGTTCAGGCACGCCACCGGTCTCTCGTCGACGAACAGGTCGACAGTAATGTCGCCAATTGTGGTTTCTATAACCACAGACATTGTTGGAAATTATATTTTCTGTAAATTTGGTAAATAAAACGTTTTTTGCTTTGCTATGATGGAAATAAACAAAACGTCCCGCAAAAACTTTTGACAGATGACGACTCTCTGGTGTATGTTCAGTGTGGTCATGAAAATAAACAATTTTAATTGTAGTGTTGCCATATCTTGATGTGCGTTATAAAGACGCTTTAATGAACTTTCTACTACTAAAAAATGTGAAAATATTACTGTATTACTCTTGTATAATATCAGGAAATTACAAAACATGTACATTCTTGCATGGTATCATATTTAAATAGACATGCAACAAAAATGTATTTATTTGAGACTTTCCTTAATTGACTAACAAATGTGAAAAACTTATGAGTTGTAAAGATTTCCCCATAATCGTAAAATATATTGTCTATTAGCGATGAAGTATTGAAGGTTTTGCAAAAGAATTTGAAACATTTTCAATTCGTTTTTTTTTTTCTCTATATATTCCAGAACTTCAAGAAAATAAAAACAAGTAAAAAACATTGTGTACGACTGGTCACAATTTTGAATACTCTCCACCTTTGGGTAAAGAAAACTATTTTTTATAAAATTATCTGAATTCAAACATGTTCCACTTTAAACTACAAATACAAGTAAGAACGGTTGGATAATGCTGCGGTTGGAAATGCAAAGTGGGTGAGGCCGTTATATGGGCCCCATACAAAAAAGGAAACGTATATAGGCAATTTTATACTTCAAGGATTGTCATCTACCAAATCTTCTTAAATACCAAATTTGAAACAATTTCGTCGGTAAATGTGACCAGGCTTATCAAAATTCCGAATATCTGTGGGTATCGTTGTATATGCCATACACACAAATTTTCCACTGGAGCTAGCATTATGAACTACAATTACAAATTTTTAGACAAATTAGAGGAAAAAGTGGCAAAAAATCATCAAAATATCGAATATCGGGAGGTACCGTTATATGGTGCTATACAAAAACGTGGACCTATGCATACAATATTTCACCACCGGAGTTAAAATCCTAAAACCTAAAAATACCAATTTTTAGACACATCCGTTGCAAAAATTATAAAAGTACCGAATATCGGGAGGTATCGTTATATGTCGGTTATACTAAAACCCATCCTTAACACAATACAAATTATTCTGCCAAATTTTGAAGATCTACGTCAAATAATATCGTGATTTCAACAGACACACGGACAGACAGACAAACGAAAAGACAAAGTTAATATAAAAATGAGGAAAAATATCATATAAATGAAAACAACTTGTTGCATTCTCGCAGTTTCTGAAACCGTTGCTGTTTCTGAAACAGAGAATATTTGAGAGCTTATACCTATCCTAGTTGTCACATGATAGGGTTATTTATAAGCGGTTCGGAAGTTATAATCAATTTATCGATTTGGACCCGGATTTTTTATACAACCCCCAAAAAAGTCGAAAAAGGGTCAATAAAATTGATGCCAAATTAAAGCTGACACCTTTTCAAAATGCTACAATTTGTGCTAATACCTTTTTCGGGTCTAGATATATGGGTCTTTTCACCCGCGTAACGCGATTCTACCCAGTTCATTATTCAATAAAAAAAGACTTTGCTCGTATTGCCTTTGGATAGGTATTTTCATAAGCTTTTCAACGATACCTATATTGTCTATATGGGGTAAGTGGATTCGGGTCTTAAACACAGACTTTCGGGTCAAAATCTGAGGTCCCGGGCCCGTCCCCCAAGAAAATATAGTTTTCCAGAATCAGGATAAAAATACCTAGCACTGAAAAAAATGTAAGCATTTTTTACTAAACTAGAGTTAAACCTATAATTGGAGTTTTAATTCGTTTAGATTTATTTAATACAGTTCAATTAGAATCTTTTGTTATATTAAAATCAAATAATGAAAAACTCCACAATTTACCTAATCCCCACAAAATGCCTGTGAAAGTGGCAACGTTGCCAGTGCTCATGACACCTTCTGCAAAATTCACATATGGTAACATATGTAAAAAGAACGTAAACAAATAAGAGAGAAAATAAAATCAAAACAAAAAAATTAGGGGAAAATGATGAGCAACGAAGAAGAATTAAACTCCTACCAAAATGCTGAAAAAGAAAACAATGAAGTCACCAATAAAGACGGTGACGAAGACTTCAGCATGGATGGTTTCAACTACACTGCATCGGAGGCTTTCATACAAGGGCTAGCTGGGCTGGTTAATCAGAGTGATGTGGAAAACATAATCAGAGCCCAAAAACAAATGTTTGTACAACAACATTAATTCAGTGCTTTGTTGATTAAACAATGCAAGATTTACTTTGTCTAATCTTATGTTTACAGGTTGCAGCGTTTTGAGAAAACCAATGAAATGCTCTTGAATTGCAATGCCCTGTCCCAGTCACGTCTGAAACAGGCAACCGATGACTTCAAGCGACATTGTAAAGTTCTGGCTGATATGAAAAAAGATTTGGATTATATATTTCGTAAGATAAGATCTATCAAACAAAAACTAAGCCATCAATATCCACAGGCATATGCTGAAGCACCACAACCGCAGCGCAGTAGTTTGGCTGAGGAAGCTGAAGATGAAACAGAAATTCGTAAAAATAAAGAAAAATCACAATCGCAGACAGCAGATGCTGCAACGTCGGCCGGCAGTAAAACTCAAAAATCAACTACTGTGGAATATGTTCAAATGGAAGAAACCATGGACAATGGCAAACCCATTGAAAATGATTTGATTAAACGTGTTTGTTCCATTGAAACCACCAATCCCAATGATTCTTCAGATTGTACCTCCGAAGATACTGGTTAAGAATATCGTGCAGGAAATGCCCATAAATCAAAATTATTTATCCAAAGATATTTTAGTTACTTACATTTAGATTACCCCATAATTTATAAATTCTTTTATTTGTAAGATCAAATGTTATTGGCATTTAAAGGTCACTTCGCATGTTTATTTGGTAGTGAATAAAGATCTCAATTCGATGAAGTCGTCTTTGAATACAATAAAACCTTTTATTTGAATTGTTTACAAAATTAAATCTTGAACATTAAGGAATCTAAAAATGTACTAATTTTCGGATTTTGTCAAGTTTGTACATGTATTTATACTTGTGAAAAATAAAATCCAAATATTTTCAAAATTAATTAATTGAAAAATATACATAATATGTGGCTTATTAATGATATTGACAAGTTGTTGCCTTTGAATTGAATTATTAAGCCGTTCAAACCCAATTTTTGAAAAAAAAAAAAATCCAGGCATTTCATTCGTTATTGGCGCCTTCTAACTTATTATAAAAACAATGAAAAATATCAAATAAATGGGAACAACTTGAGCGTCCAGTTGTCCACATGGTCTACCATGGTTGTATATGATAGCCTCAGGGTAGTAATTACCATGGTTTTAATAAATACAAAGTTTTTAAGCTCTTTCTTGCTAGTCCGTAGTGTATGTTGTTTTTAGAGCTCGTCGTTATTATAGCCTTGCGTCAGACTTGATTTTCAATGATTGAATGATTTTATCATCCTCTTGATTATTTACGTATAGTCATCAGTTCAAAGATCACAGCAAATCAATTCTACTGCTTAGAATACATTCTAATTAGTAGCTTTTAAGTGAGAACCACAACAGATCACAGCTTAGCGGAATATCGTGAAATTAGTAAATGTCCATGAAGTCTATATACTTAATAAAATATGCTCTGATATTTCTTATAAGGTCTGTTCTGTTCTTCGATACAATAAAGAAAAAATCGATTATCATAGTTAAAACTTTTACATTATCGCAGTTCTGGAATAGACCAATAGTGAGCAGTTATTACTTTAGAAATTCATCTACCCCATTTATTGCATGTTGACAATTGGCATACGTTATAATAAGAGAATTTCCCTTTATCAGTTAAGAGTTGCCAGTGATAGGGTTGTTTTGTTTTTTTTTAAATACAGTATTGTTTTGTATATCTTTATTTCACAACATCAATAACTCGTGTTAGTTAATCTATTTTAACACATTTAATAATTACAATTAATTAATGTTTATATTTTAAGTTTTCATTATCAAAGCAATATTGTTAAAAAATTACATCTGGCAACGCCAAACACAGCCAGCTGGGAAACAAAAAAAATCATTTTTATTTCTTCTGTCATTCTTTCAGTTGTTTTTTTGAACGCGTCGGAGAAAATTCGGAAAATTGCTGTATGGTCCGCTTCTATTTACTAGGCTTTTTTCCAATTTGTCACGCAAAATTTATTTAATGTAAAACAAAATTAATAAAAGTTATTTAAAATATTAATACAAATCAAAAGTTAGTGGCTGGGGAGAGTGAAAACAAATGCCAATTGTCCCTTCTTATCAGTCGATGTCCGTCTTTTCAATGCAAAATATACAAAAAAATAACAACAAAATATTTCTAGCATAAAAACAACAACAGCTATAGAAACAATAAATTAAAAGTGGAAACGTGAGTGCGTGCGTGTGTTAAATTCCAATTCCAACAAACCAAGGCGTCATCGAGAGGGGGTGAGATTTTTCTCTCATAAATTGAAGGAACAAAGGTTGGAAATTTTCCAAAAAAAGGATATTTGATATAGCTTTTTGACATAACTTCATAATTAAAATAAACAAAAAATTTCAATTAATTAAGCAGAAGAGAAGAGTGTGTGAGAGAGAAAGCATTGAAATACAAAATAGAGAAAATAACAACAACAAGTGTTTTGTGACGAACTGACTGCATGTGAAGAATGTATATCAACAAAAGGCATAGATTTTTTTGTTTCGGTTCCCCCAAAAAGTAAATGCTACCAAAAATATTGTGTGGAAAATAGAAATTCAACTAAAAATTTAATTGACCCCTACCATAAATGCTACTATGATTCTGTGTGTACATGCGCTGCGCTAGTGTTGTGATTACTACAAAATAATTCGCTTACTTTAGAACAAAGTTTAATATTTGCTGTGCTGCAATAGCCAAAAGATATAAATTCAGTGTTTATTTCTAAATTTTAATTTAACAAAAGACAACATCATCTTTAAACTGGCCACTGTTAGTGACAAAAATCATCAATTCTTCGATAACATGGATGATGAAGAGGAAGAAGTTACCGACATGAAACTACAAATATTCCACAACACTGTACGAGAACACATTGTGAGTATCGAAGAAAAAAAGACAACACAAAATAAAAACATGACAGGATAATGGAAATGGTTATGGGGAGAACTAAAGTCATATTTTATTGTTCTAGAAAATAACCAATTTAATGTGAACCTTTTCTTAAATGCGTTTAGTAGCGGCATACAGGATTGGTAAAAATATCCATAGGAATTTGGGATGGTGTCGAGGATTCTCCTTCTTTTGTGAACAACAAAATACCTCTACGACAATGTAATCAAATATTTTATACTTACCATTCGCTTTGTTATAAACTGAAGAAGTTGTATAGGGAAGAAAAAATGTATATTTGGAAATTGTTATTAAATTATCTTCTTGCTGGTTGCTAGAGATCTATGTCACTGGGACAATAGATAAGACATAAATGCAAAACAAATAGCTATTTACCTTTTATTTCGAAAATGTAATGATATTATCAAGGGAGAATGTATTTTCGCCATGGATATAACTGGTAATAAATTGTGGTACTAGGTGTTACCGTATGGTAGTTGACAGGTGAAATCGAGATATATGTTTGACTTTTCATAAGTTAACAACTAAAATAGGGGCTTAAAATATGCTTTGATTATTAAAATGCCGAATTTCCGTTTAGATAAGAACACACCTGAATGAGCCGGTCGAGGGGTCACATTCGAAAGTATGTTCAAGCAGTGCGCGCAAGCCTCAGTTATCTACGTTAAGTTGAAAAGTAGGAACAAGTTCCTCAGGGCGCAAGCCTGCAGCGCTAGGACGCGGAACGGAAACCTTGTTGACCTCTTATAAGGCAATTGTTGGTCTGTATTGAGCTATGTGGCGAATACTAGTGAAACACAGTGGTAAAGTATCCAGACCTGAACGCTGCCCTGCAAACTGCAACAGGGTGCCTCCTCATGACACCAATTGACCCTCCAAATGTGGAGACAATGAAGAACCTAACCATACGTATTCGTTGCGTTACTTTTTTGGGTGTTACCTTAGAAGTCATCCGAACCATCTTATGTTGGATAAGACTCCCCCATCCAGGCGTGTCAGAGAGGACCTATATGAGAGTGAGGTCCACCGTAATAAAATAAAGCCTATAACTTCAGCCTAGGGTCTTGGTGTCCATCTTTATCCACTGCACTTGAAGAACGCATGCTAGACTACATTCTGGATGGTGCAGTCGTCCAATCCGTATTGGGCACGAATTGATAAAGACGTGCGAAACATGTGCGACACAGACCTGAATTTCTGTAATTGCCCTGTTAAACATATCCGTATAACTCCTGAATATCTTTGGCTACAGGCTGTGAAGGTAGCAAAATTATTGAATTTGGAGTTAGCACCAGATTAGCAGAAAAAAACAAAAACACAAAACATTTATTACAACAAGGGGCCGTCAAGTTCACTGATTCGGTGGCGTTAATAATAGCAAATAGTTCCATCTAAAAACGCTGCAGTCGTTGTAAATCTCAAATGAGTTACTAATGTTTGGCTTATCGCAAAAGACTCCTGCGCCCGTTCCGCTTTACATCTTGGTGTGTTGTTAGAGGTTCAGTTGCAAGTCGCAGTATGTGAATATCTAACGGCTCGAAATTCATTCATTGTGATATGCAACCACTGGTTTTATCCTAGCCTTTTACACATCACATACTAAAATCAAAATTCCCCTGAAATTAGCATCGATGCGACCCTCTGAACTTTGTCAGGCCTATATGATGATTTAACCAGCGAACACCACTAAACCAGCGCGATTTAAGCTTTCAGCGATTTGAGTTTTCAGTGTTTCTCTATATTCTACAGCCTTTATGATAGCAAAGACCTCTGGCTATAATACGATACCCTTGTATGTAGCTTGTACAAGAAATCGAGGTTCAGTTTTCCATAGTAAACATCGGCTATTGCGTCTTCTTATTTTGGGACCGTCAGTATGTATAGTCACATCGATTAGAAAACCAAAGCCAATTTACCGCATACACTAGAATTGTGTCTTCATCTAACTATTCAGCAACAGAAACCTCATAGCACTTCGCTCATGTCGAGTCCTTCAGTCTCGTTAGAAACGGTTTTAAGGGTGAATTTTGAAGATCCGGTGCTAACAATACCATATACAGTTTAGCGTGTAAGCCGCATCTTAGCCTTATTTCGTAATCGAAATAGAGGATGACTTATTGAGATATGTCGTACAAGTTTTATTATTTTCTATCCATAGAAGTGCCTTACATATTACATACATGGAGCTTGCGGCCTTCTTGCACGTGAAGAATATGTAAAAATACGCCACTGCTTGTCCCCTCTAAAATAAGCAAACACCTAAACGCAACAGCCCAACATCGGTTTGCAGTGAGTTCCTAAGGTTTACTTTCAGGGTCGATATAACGCCATGGTGCAGATGCTCTAGAGGACCTCTTTTCCTTCACGACGACACATGAATGTAGCAAAGTGAAGCAGTAATAAATAAAAACTAAATTGGCTCTGATTTTGGGATCCCTGGCGCCCTCATTAGGCATTGCCACGGTTATGAGCTTCACCTCTAATCTAATCTCACCTCTAATCTAAAAAGTTTTCTGCTACCAAAAGGACAGAACAAAAACAAAAAAAAAAAAAAAAAAAAAAAAAAACTCCGCTATTTAAATGGGTAAATGAGGCCGCTTAGACTGAGCCAAAAAGTATAAATCTTGATTCCTATTCATATGTTTCGGCAATAATGTCCTGACTGCATTTCTGTCCAAAGACTAGCGAGTTAAAGGAGATATGTGGTAGAAACTTTGGATCACATTCCTTCCATTGAGCACATTTCATATTTGAATAATTTGTAGCAAGTTTAGTGTTTGCCGTGTTAGTTTATATTCAAAAGTATTCACTCTTCTGAAGCCAAAGAGATATTTAATGTCTGTATCTGCATTTGCAATTTTACTAACAGAAAGGTGCAAAACGTTTTGAATTTTAAATTGATGTTCCAACACGTGCTATTTCTGTTGAAATCACTCTAATGCACAAACAATACCAAATCAACCAAACATCTGTTGTTTAGCGGCATCGTATATTGGTATTTGCAAATAATCTCTTCCTTTTCGATGATATTATTCTCTTAAAACTAAAAGTCAGTACAGCAACTACCCTTATACCTACCCTCTCGGCGCATCACTTTTATCTGCCCTTAATTATATTTTGGTTGCTGCCAGCGCGGATGGTGGTTGTTTTTTTCCTAATTTGATTGAGTTTATTTTGTTTTCTTCGTATCGTTGTTAATTTTTCATGACATATTCATTCATTGCTCAAATTGTTGTACATGTTTTTTTTCTTCAGTTTTGTTTGTATGCCCTAGTATTTTTGACGCCACCAAAAACATTTAAAAGCTTATTCTGTTTGCTCGCTGGGTGTGTGTGTGTGAGTGTTCTTCATGTGCTGTTTCGAAACAGCTGTCTGAAAAAGGCATAGCCTTTCCCGCTAGTGTCCTTGAAAGGGAAAGTATGGGTTGCATTTGAATGTTAGGCTTTATGTGGCGTTAGGTTTGCGCATAACTGTACAGGGAGAGAAGTGTGATGAAACTGAGTTGTTAGTTTTCAAATGCAATTTTGATTGTAAAGGGGATTGGTGAAAGGGTGATTGAATAAATTCACTTAATGATGCACGTCATTTTTGAAGTTTAACAGAGTTGGTGTTTTGGAAAAAGACACAAATTTACTGAGATCTTAAATTCAGGTTACTCTAATTTCATTAGTTTATTTTTTCTTTAATTTGAGACATTTTTAAATTTAGTATAATATTGCTTTGGCATTTACCTATTGTCGACATGCCGATTATTATTATTTTTTGAAAAGGGTTCGTAGAATATTTATGGAATTTTGCAGCGCAGAAACCCACCAGTTGGTCATCGGATATTTAGCGGGTGAAATGGACATGAAATGGAATATACAGACGAATCTAAATTTTAAAATATTATTTGGAATTAGCATTAACATAGCAGATAGTGTAAATATAGGGCTGTTTGATGTAGGGACAGCTACCTTCCAGCCAAATACGTTGATACGTTGGATAATCATCAACTAAACAAGAAATTGCTCGAAATGGGATGATATCTCCAGAACTGTTTAATCTCTACCTTCCCGAAAGTCCTCGTCTTACGAACGACCTGCGAAAGAGATCGTAACCTATGCGAGCAATATGAAAATGACCGCCACTAAATCAACTACCATACTCTTTAATGTGCAGAGAAAAATTTAATTCCGACCAAATACTACCCCACGATTCTATAGGTCACATTCGACAGGACGTTCAAGTCGCCCAGGATAAAGAAGGATCTAAAAGATATAGAAAGCCGGGTCAGAGTAGCATTTATACTGATGCAGTCACATATCCACCACCTTATACACTGCAGTTGAAGAATGTCGGCTTCCTTAGCAAAACAGAGTAGTTTTGGTCGAACTTTGGTTCAGGATGGTGCAGTCTACTCAATTCGTACTGAACACGAATTGATGAAGATGTGCAAACGTCCGCCCTGTGCCCGATACAGACCCGAACAAATACGCACCACCTTTTTAATTGCCCTGTCAAAACTATCCGACTCATCCCAAAGGATCTTTGGCTACTGTCTATTAAGGTAGCTAAATTCTTCAGCTTAGAGCTTGAATTAGGTTAGTTGAACGGATTACAACATAAATTGCTGTTACAGCAACAATGGGGAATCGATACGAAATAACTAGATAACATTCCAAGAATCGAATGGAAACAAATTCATGCATAAGTACATCAAATGTTCTTGCAGCGAACATAGATGAATAGAATGTTCGAAATTTAGAAAACGAAGCTTAATTTTTAGAGTGAAATTTTAGGTATTCCAAGTATTAATACCGATTTCTTGAGGATTTTTTTCAGATCTACAAAAAGGTCAGAGTGAGTTATACTGATGTAGGGTTTTACATGGTCGGTCCGAACTGTGAACGGTATATTAACTTTGACATTTCGTTTGCAACTCCTCGAAACAATCACATTAGAACCTAACATTTTTGATCAGA